TCTGGCTTTACGAGGACATATTATATTTTGAGTTTGCTACTATAATACATTAATTCCCTACCAAATAAGACATTGATACTAGATTTGATTCGTGTTTTGTTTTGTTTTTTTTTTTTTTTTTCGTTTTACTAATTGAAACATCCTCGTCCGTAGTGAGTATGTGGCCCTCAAACGTAGCCACGCTTGTTGCGAGCCTTGGAGAATGTCCTTCGACAGCATACTCCGTACCACTGGTCAAACTCAATGCCATACATCTGTATGATTATCTCGGGATTTCCGACCGTGCCCAAGCTACCACATTTCCGTGGAGCGCCCTGAGTGTCGGGCACAGGCACCAACTCCCGTCGGCTTCGGTTGCTCCAAGGCAAACCACGGACGGCAGTTTGTTTGACAGCAGGCGCAGACCCTGGCTTGGCCGATGCGATTTCGCGGGTCAATTTTACTGTTATAACAAGTAATAGATTACAGCTGTGACATAACGATACGCACAAAAATAGAATGACAAACTTGATAGCCTCGATTTGCAAGCCTTATCGGCACCGCCGGATTGGAGGCTTGCCTTTCTTAGCGCCGCCCTAGCGCTGACATCAGAAGAACCCTAGTTAGTGCAAAAGCTTGAGTCCTTTTATCGGTAAGGGTAATCAACCATCTGATTGGGAAGAACTTGTGAATTAGGATCCCAACACAGCGTGACAGATCACTGATTCAGTCATCGATCCTTTTAGTCCCCGTTTGTTGTCATTGACGTGGGCAGCACCGGGGATGACGATTGCGTGGCTATTCGCCTCTGCTTTAGTCTCCACAGGCGAGGCTCGGCTTGTACTGGAGATCACCTCGTATTGCTGCTCCCTGCTGTCTAAGGCCCAGACAACCTGCGTGTCTCATTCTGTCGGGCTTCAGCTGGAAGGGTGTGGACACTGGGATTCCGTATATGGTTTCCTTCCTATTGTACAATGTAGCCATCAGCACACTGCACCGGCACTGTCCTCTCTACTGTATATATAGTTGTTTTCCGGGCAAATCGTGAGACGTTCTCTATAGCTTTACTGGCCAGCATACTCCGTCGTTATTGAATCAAGATGCGCTACTCTTTCACACTCGCTTCATTGGGCCTGATCTCCTCGGCTTTGGCCATCACCATCACTACTCCGTCATCAGACACGGAATGGGACTTTTCCACCCCCAAGACCATCAAGTTCACTAGCGACTCCAGCGATCCTGACTATATTAGTATCATCCTGCGAACCGAGGATGGCTCTTTCCAGACCAAGTTGGCGGACAACGTGAAGACCTCTGAGGGGGAATACACGACCCAACCCAACCCTAGCATTTCCAACGGGTATGTAGCCTTAGCAGGGAGACACTGGGATACTCGCCAAGAATGGATCTGCTGAATTGACTTTTTCTTTGTGGTACCTTAGAGATGATTACGAGATCCAGATCATTGATTCATCAGGCCAGCTCGCCGTGAGCCCGGTGTTCACAGTCGAGAAGGGTGCTTCGAACGACGGTACCACGTCCTCATCCTCATCTTCCTCCACTTCATCATCATCATCATCATCATCATCATCATCATCATCATCCTCCTCATCGACCACTTCATCGTCCTCCACGTCCACCACCTCCTCCTCCACCACCTCCACTACTCTCTCTACAACCAGTGAGATCACTTCCACCTCAACCACCATCACCACCACCACTCCCGGGTCGTCGACACCTGCGTCGTCGATCACTCCTTTGTCTTCTTTAGGCAAGACCCTTCTTCATACACAACTGCCCGGTGATCACACTGACCGAGCCATTCTTTTTGCCCACAGGTACGAGCACCGCGGCGTCGTCCAAGGCGACGATCACCACCGCATCCTTGGCGTCTAGCTCCAACTCCACCAGCACTACCGCCACTGCCGCCGCGCAGCAGTCGGTCGGCGCGGCGGCGCCTACCTCCGGTACTACCAAGGGAGCGCTGGCTCTGCTCGGCGCTGTGGTCGCGCTCTTGTACGCTTGATGTTGACGAGATGCAAGATTATTGAAGCGTGCATGCATGCGCTCATCTTCATGCTACGAGCGAGGGGGGTACAGGGGAGTAGGCTAGTGGGATCTCGGGTTCTGTTATGCTTCATAGTTACGAGAGAGAGTAGGCAAATTGACCATTTTTACGACAGCCGATGCATGAGAGTCTGAGACCAGTACTAGTCGGTAGTATACTTCAATACTTCAATTTGTCCCTACGGTAGGCAGCGTAGAACCACTTCATTGATTGGTCTTCTGCATGGTATCGAGGACTTCTTCCCGCGTTGTACTCTATCTTGACTTCAATTTGTAATACTTCGGGAGAGTCGACATATATCGCTGTTCTTGTACGACATTCCTCATCGGAAGAGGTCAAGGTTCATGGATTCTTTATTGCAGAGACAATATTGCTGCATGGAGTTTACCAGACGACAACGATCCAATAATTGATCTGTACCTTCTAGCTAATGTTCACTACTCAGTTTATTTGGACAGCCTTTAATAAGCGTAGTGATTACTCTCTATCTGGAGTCACACAAGTTGCGTGGAATTGTGATTTGTAACCCATCGAGGGGGATTCCGCAGAAGCGGGACCAGCGTGCATAAGTGCACCTGCAGTTTCTCCCACCATCCGGAATTCCCCCGCACACCGCAACTCCTCTTCGTCTTAGCCATTTTTTCCGGTACTGGAAAAGAATGTTCTCGGAGATGCAAAGGCTTTATTATATGGTTGTTTAGTCATGCATATCCCACGGACGATGTTTCATGATGTCATTGGCTCAGACCTGTCGATCCTGGAGCCACAATAAACACTTTCACCGCTTTGCGAGCGTTTGCTGATTATGGTAATGTCTTACCTGGTGAGATATGTCAGCTCGTCTGAGTTGCCTTTCTTGAACAGTGTGATGACTGCCGATAGATGATCGAGAGTGGAAAAGCGAGACTTTTTAACATCTTGAGGATTGAAAAAGAATTAGCTCCCGTGATTAAGTATAGGGATAGACAGCCGAATTGTGGCCGAAAGCTGTATAATCCGAGAGCCGAGTACAGTACAGTTCATGCCAGAACCAACCAGTCCGGAATATTAACGAGGTCTTTGGAACTGCGTGCGTGGGGTAAGGCATGATATAATTGCTAATTATAAATTCAGAAGTAAGGTCTATTCCGCCTGCTGAGACAGCTTCTGAACTTGGAAACCGCGCCGGATCTTCTCCTTCGACACCGCCTTCATGCGGTCGGGTGCCTTTTTTTTCATGCGTGGGAACCTGCGTCAAGAGCCATCTCCCCTCATCTATTCTTGGGATCGCGAGAAGATCTGGACGAGGGCGCCTGCGTGACGCACCAAGTGCGTTGGGTGTCCAACTGCGAGACCTCGGGATTTGCTCATGGAGATTCGTGGAACTAGGCAGATTGGTCATGCTCCTGCGGTGCACTTCCTGGCAGGTTGGAACTTCCCACAGCACGATTTGTTAGGTTTTTTTTTTTTTTTCCGCTGCCAAGGCGTCCGCTGCTGCTGACGGAGTGAAGTTGAATCGGACCTGCCTGCGCGATAAACCTCGGTAGCCTCTCTTTTGCCCGCTCTAATCCTAGGAACCCAGCAGGAACGGGGCTCTAGGTTTTGGTCCATGTGAACCTGCAGTACAGTCAGCATGGATTGGAAGACATGAGCCTCCAAGAGGCTCGAAGAAGGCAACAATGATTCGTTCAGATAAACATATTCTCGTATACTTTCTCTTGACAGAGCCTCGAGTCATGGATCGTGGCAAGACCCTGTCAATCCACCTCGAATGATAAGCCGGTTACTGGCTCCCTAATGACCTTGGCAACGCTCGGACCAGGGTGGGTATGCCATAGATATGGGTCACTAGCGTTATCGGACACGACCTGCCTTATCGACCGTTACGAAAAGCGCAGGGCTCCTCCTTCGTATCGGGTACCTTCAATGCGATAAGGATTTGGTTCGTCATCTTACCTGAAGAGGTGGCAACTGTAAGCTCACAAGCAGAGAGACTTACCTTTGTAGCAGTGTCTTCAGTACCGCGCCGCAACGAAGTCTCGCTGGTTGTCTGATTCTGCCCTGTTGGGCGCGATCGTTACACGGTCGTTCGACTGTCAACTCATCTCAGCTACCACCGGGTCAGTCAAATGACCCGTTTCGGTTTGCTTTTCTGATTCATGTAACACGTATACAACTCACCCAGGGACTATCAGATGGTCGTGTCAGCAGTCTCACAGCTCAAATCGTTGATGCTCCCATCCAGCATTTCCTGTTCACGCATTGATCTGAGGCAGATCAGACAAGTATTACCGGTTAGCCTTGATAGCAAGCTTGATCATCTGAGACGGACGATTCCGAGTAATGAACGCCGGTGAGCAGAATTTGGGGGAATATCTATCGCCAAGGACGCATTTACAACTAAGACGGGCCTACCATGCCCCCCGTATCTCAGCCATTCAGTATTTTGCTTGCAGGAAAGATTAATCTATACAAGTATTTAGTTGAGATAAAAAGTCTTCTGGTAGCATACGATCATATACATGAAAAGGTCTTCAATTTCTCTCCGTCGTTCAACCAAACAAGCCAGCAGCTGAGCCAACCGAGGGCTCGTTGCAAATATATAGTCCGGGAAGAACTGAATTTGCCCTGTCTGTGCTATGTCGTATGTTTTGCACAAACCACGGAGTCAATGGTTGGTGTGACTATTCCATTCCTGAGTCCTGTGCGATGTCCACCTACTCTACTATTGGACATTCAAATTCGACGAAACGCCCTTTCCACGTGTACGACGTCAATAGACAAACAAGTCTCGTTGTCATCAGTCGCAGATTCCAGCTCGATCCGCAACCAAAAGCAACACGTCATGTTTGCACGACTCTTCGTCGTACACTACAAGCTCCCTCCTGCAACCCTAATCTAATCGATCTAGATAAATTCCGTTGCTACTACCCGGCAGGAATGTGCCCCCAAAGAATTTCGCGCAACCTTAATCATGCCCCGCGACGCAGACTTTCCGAATCCATGGGACCTCCTGGTCAACGATGACTCCTGCTTGACGCTGGCTACCTTCCGCACGCTGTCGGGGATTATCCAGGCGACGGAAACCCTCCCGAGCGACGACGATTCCCTCCAGCAATACGCGGGCTTCTCGGACAATGGCTATCAAATCGTATGAACGGAGATGCTCTCTCTGAGCCCTGCATCCATCTGTGCGTCACGCTTGTGTAACACACCTCATTAACTGTATAGTCCCTTGAGCCCGGTAGCCGACGAGTTCATGACAGTATGTAACCGCTGTTGTCAAGCTGATACTGCTCTCTGCTCATCCCAGGGATCAGATAAACAGCGACTGCGTTGGGTTCTTGACCACAAGCGATGATGCTGCCGGCCAGGGCAGCGGTTGTCGCAATAAGCCCATCACTGATGGCGGCGGCGGTGGTGGTGATGCTGATGATAATGACTTGGATCAACTGTGCGCATGGGAAAAGATGACGACGCTCTCCCAGTATATCGACGAATACTCGGATAATGCTGGCGCTGAAGACTCTGGAAACTCGTGCTACGGGCTGATGCTGCGGGAGCACGCAATAATAATAAAGCCGACGACACTAAGACCAAGACGCTGGCTGAGGAGTACATCATCCAAGTTACAGAGGAGTGTCCCAGTGATATCATCATCATCCGGACTCAGATCAGCAAGATCAAGAAGGCTTTGCATTATTTTGAAATTCTATGTCAAAGCAGATGTTCAAATAGATAAAAATTGACAATAGCTGCAGGAGTAATGGAGTCACACTTCAGACGCTCGAACAGTCCATGGATCAAATTCTCAGCAAGGAGTATGGAGATATACAAGACCTGCAACAGAGGTTAACACGCGAAAGGGCCAGATGGATAATGATCAAAGCGTGATCGATCAAGGTAAACTTCTTCGCCAACCCCCCGGCACCCTTGTGATGCCATGCGGCTTACCAGGCGAATCTCGGATTGCTTGTATCAAGGAACAGTGGCAGCCTATGCTTGGATTTAAGTACGATACCAACAAATCTATGCCCTGCAAGGAGACTGGGCGCTCACAACCCTGGGGCTGGAACCATCGCTGGCACGGTCATGTGGTTCCAGTACCAAAACGATCCCAACTCCTATGAAAAAAAAAAGACTAACGACTTAAATGAGGAAGTGCAAACTGATGAGCAGGTTATCAAGGTGCACGTGCACCTGTATGGGATCATGGCGACGATGAAGGCAGGAAGTCTGCTCACCCCGTCGGTAGAAAGCAAGACCTGACCATGACGGCCACGGAGAAACACCAAGAGAATAAGCGACCTCATCGGCCCGGCTAAGCAGACCACCGAGACGATTGAAGGGGGCTGGGATGTGATGGGTACTATGATACAATATATCTAGGATCAGGCTTCAAGATTTGAGGACGAAATCCCACAGGTACTACTCTCCGGGCTGCAGCTCGACGACATCGCCAAGGCGTGGTTGAAGCTCAATCATTATGGTATTCTTCCTCACCAGATTTAGTTCTTTGTTCATTCGTTTTTTGTGCCTTGTCAGAGCATTCTCGAGACTGATATATCATGACATCTTCAGTGGAGTCCTATATTGACCAGGCCCACAAAAGCCCGGATCTCGAAACACCACACTTGTACCGGGCCCAGTGCTACAGTATCTTCCCTACTAGCCATACTTGCAGCTCATATCAATGACAGCCCGGTAAATGTGTGAATGCTCTAGATGCATCTTCATCATATTCATAGTCGTAGTAATAATGGACTCAGTTGGTGCTCTTCGCCTAGTCCAATCCATTCACATGTTCACTCCTGTAGGAACTGTGAGTGAAAAAGGAAAACATCGAGGGCGTCGACTGCCAAGTCATGACGAATAGATAAGTGGATTGATGATGGCTGTGCAGTACGGAAAGGATGGTCTTTGTACCACCTTCGCACCTCAGCAAGTCATTTCACAGCTTGACTAACCGTGCATGACAGCGCTCCAATTGACTCGATATAACCTGTCTCGGTGGTATAACATCCTGTCCACCGGAGATGTGCTTCAACCTTCCTCCTTCGTCTAGAACAGCCACACAACCGCTAAATCTAGCTTCAGCGCGGCCGCAATCCACAACGTCGACTGCATACCACCAGCGCTGAGACTCAAAGCACCCTCCGCAGATGGCACCGACCACATACAACGCCGCACCGCACATGCGCCGGTTTCTCTGTGCATTCTTCAACAACGAGGTAAACAGATGGGGATTGGAAGCGAAATCGAAGTACACACTCGCCAACACGACGATCAGGATCTCGTTGAATCCCAGAAAGCGGCTCGTGGCCAGACAGCCTGCCGACTGAAACGCCAAGAGTGCAATTGGGATGAGCTCGAGAAAGAGTGGGCCACCTGTTAGTGAGGTCGCCGCAGAGATATGTGGGATGAGATCCGCTTCGACAAGAGCGCTGGCGATGATGATTAAGGAGGCTTGAACGAGGAACGAGAGACTGAGCGTGACGGCCCGGCGCGGACCGAGAAGACGCATCGCGTTGGCAAATGTGAACGCGCCGGCCACGAAACAAGATATGGAGACTAAGTGACTTGAGCCAGCCGAATGGCTTGGATTCGGGCTGGCCGGAAGCTCCGAGGCCGAGCGTGATCGTGTTTCCTGGGATAGGGGTTAGTTAGGACGGACTTTCTCCCGATCCGAGCTTCAGGAAACTGCTATACCTGTCTGCAAGCCCAAATAACAAGACCACACACTGTAGGCACTACTATCGCACAGCGCTGTGATGAAACAGAGGAGCAGGCAAACCAGGTCGGTATGCTTGGCATCAAGGTCATAAAGGATCCGTCTTGATAGCCAAGTCGCCGGCTTTCTGGGGGAACGGTGCCGAGGAGGCTCTGCAGCGACCGAGGACCCCCGCTTGTGTTCCTCCATGAACGGCGCGTTGCAGTGTTATTCTTAGTTCTGGAGAAGAAACTATACTCCCAGCTGGACCAAGACGTTCCATTGCGCTCGCTTTTACACTTGAGGTATCGAATAATCCTCACCTTATCTGAATTAACGTCATTTCGTAGATAGCTATGCGGAGATGTGACCGACGTGTCCTCATGATGTTTCATCATTGAAGGAGCTTGTCCAAGAAGACTACCGTTACAAACGAAGCATTAGATCATAGACGAAATACCGGGCCTTCTGATGTGTTGAAAAGGCACCAACTCGAGAGAAATCTGGATCCTCGGCTCCTGCATAGGGTGGCCCCGCTTTTACCGTGTTACCCGACACTTCCGTGACTTACTCATTGACATCACAAATACTGCGCGGAAAGCCTGATACCAGTGATCAGTACTCCGTACATACCCCTTCTGTACGACTAACGAAGCAATGCGGTCGACGGGTAAAGTGCAGCAGCGACTGGGAGACCAAGAATGATAGATAGTGCCTAGATCCAAGATACAGGTACCTGCTGCCCTTTGCGGACATACATTGAAGCCTAGTCTCAGCCCTATAGGGCTTGACTAACGGGTGGCTACAGCCGGACCATGAATCCACTCAACCGTCTGGCCAACCAGTCGGTATCGGACATCCGACGGGTGGGGGCTTTCCCGGTCTCGCACAAAACATGTTGAGGCAGTTGTTTCTACAATATGGGATAGGAGCCGTGAGCCCTCTCTCACTGGTGACGTCGTTCATTGTCCGTGGGACTGCTGCAGCCTCCCTGGCCAGGCTTTTCGCAGCTCGCGACGCTGTCCGGTTGGCCCCACCGTTATAGACTCTCTCGTACATAATTACCTGAATCCATTACTCATCCACATTCGCAAAAATTCTTGTCCTGTCGGAAAAAGCGGTATTTCCAGGCTATCCTTTCGTTGGAGGGGGAGTATGCTTGATTCTGTCCAATGCCTATGACGCTACATTGCAAGGAAAGCGCCCCCCCCCCCCCTTCCCACCAAAAGCCCCTTCGGTGCGGGCAGCTGTGCTATCTTGACATAATCCAGCCCTGGAATATTGTAAGAATTCAAAGAAGCATGATTCATTTTATTTCAGTGATACTGGATTGGTTTGTCTGCTAATGCGCGAGGCTCGTTTACATGAGCGGCGGAGCAATGCCAGGTGGTTGCTCCGCCGTACTCGCTCCTTTGAATGCCCGTTTACACCACGAGCAGAAAGACCCTGGCCGCGCGATCGGAGGAGGGGGTTGCTGCTGAACCGCACTTTGCACGGGCCGGATCCGCCGTCGACGATGGTAAAATCTGGCCCGGCAGAGCGGACAGCTAATGTCGTGTCTGCAGAGCCAGGCGTCGATGCACGGCTGATGAAAGCTGTGCTCGCACGGTAGCTGGCGGTAGACCGCTGTGCAGTCCAGTGGTTCTAAGCATATGATGCATGTGTCGGGGTCTATGGAGTCGATAGTTAGCCCCCTAGATGATGGTCGTGATCGGAGAGATGGCTCACTTGTAGGGTCCTGAACCCCTTGATGAAGAGGGAGTCGATGTAAATCGACCTCGTAGAAGACGGGCCGCATCTTATCGGGTAACATCGGCAGGCGTGGGTGAAGAGTCTCGCATTGGAGGTACTGTATTTGGTTCACTGGCTGATAGCAAGAGCATCCACACGAATGTACAAGTGCCTTGATATATTAACGGGCTGCGTATAGACCTGGCACGATGTGACGTGGTTGAGTGGAGGATAATTTGGCCTGCGAAAAGAGCTCGGATTAACCGGCTAACCCGCCAAAGACGGTTGTCATTAATTTCCTGCTAAGCGACCTATGACTAGCATCAATTTCCGCAGATTACGTACGGCCCATGACCATACCATTGTATACATCAAGCTCCCTTAGTATCATAACAGGTTGTGGTGAATTCAAGAAAAGTCTGATTTCGAATCTGCAGTGCCTCCATTCGATTCAATTCATTTCTTTATATCCCATGGTCCGAGCCACCCAAAATCTGAATGGGGTACTCCCCATTCCGCCGTGCAGAATGGTGATCTTGAAGAGACGACTAAGAAAGAGAAGAGTTCGTGGAGCCCATCCATCCCGCGATCGTGTCATTACCGTGCGAGGGAGACCCGAATGTAGCAAAGGCCGCCCAGCTGCCACTCATCTCCGAGGACAGAATGCGATCGGCTGCCGTCGCGTACGGGGCGTATCGCGGACTGCTCTGCGCCTGGTTGAAGACGTAGGGGATGTCGCGGAAGTGCGAGACCCCGAGGTAGGAGGTATTGGCGTCCGCGTACCAGGATCGCAATAGCGTTTGGTTGATAGCGAACAGGTAGGTTGCGGTGGTGGGCTCGGTCGGTGTAGAGAGCGGGACAGGAGAATCCGGTGTCGCGCTTCATTCGGCTCGCGTGGAAGGACTTCGAAGTACTGCGTCGAGATGTTCTTAGCGGGAAGTCCAGCAAAGTCGGAGACGGGGTACAGGGCTAGAACTTGCTTGATGCGGGTGGCGGCCAGGAACAAGGCCACGTCCGTGTCAGAGGCGAGAATCGGCAGGGTGAAGAATGAACCGTCATCCTCGTTCCAGCCGCCAAGGTTGTCGATGTTGCGGGAGAATTAGCCGGTGGCTAGAAGCCGAGAGGGGCTGTCGGGAATGAAGCTGGAAGGGGAGTGGGGGATGGGGTTCATCCATCCCCGAGCTATTGCCCACGGCCTCTTCGTATGCAAGGGTGCTTGCCTTGCCCGACCGCTGTATGCCGTGATCTGAAGACCACTCCGGTTGCGCCCTCGCTCTCGCTGACAATGGTGACTTGGTCCGGGACGCCGCCAAATCCGGCGATGTGCTTCTGCACCCGTTCGAGGGCCAGTCACTGGTCCAACAGCCCTACATTCTGGGAGTCGCTGGCGGCAATTGCGCGAGAGGCAGCAAACCTAAGGGCCTGACGCGGTAATTAGCGGTGACGTAGATGATCGGGAAGCCCTTCTGGGCAGCGCCGTTCACGAGCCTTGTCGGGTCGTAGGCCGAGTCGTAGATCTGCCCGAGTGAGTCCCCGCCGCCATAGATCCAGACCATGACGGGGAGCTTGGCGGAAGATAGAGTTTTGGCTGGTTGGTCGTTTCGGAGATTGAGACAATCCTTTGACATAGTGTTGAAATTGTGAAACAGGGGCATGCTGGAAACCTCCTGTTGCGGTTGCAGGCAGGCGGCGCCGGCCTGGGTGGCATTCACCAAGGTGCCGGGGGCATAGTTGAAGGGCTTCGGTGGCGCGAATCGGTTGAAACCAGAGGTGTCCTGGCCAAAACGGATATTCAGGAACGACTCGACATTGTTTGCGACTGTTCCTTCAAAGCGGACTTCGTCAAGACTCTCAACAAGAGCTCTTCGACGGTGCTGTAGGAGAGGGCTTGAATGGCTGTGCGGAAAAGGCGCACACTACGCCAAAACCGAACGGGTTAAGAACGATAACCTCATATTTGAGCAGAAGGGGAAAAGCCTTGTCTGTTTCGCTGGAACCTACCGGGAAGCTAAAGCTCAAGCTGAAATTTATACATGGGTTGGGCTGAGCGTGCTCGGCTGGACCGGAATTATCAAGGCGTGCGCAAGTTGGAAGAATGAGGCCGGGTTGCGGGTAGGAAATACCTACCAGGTATAGTATATCCATGATCATGGATACCTCCAGGCTACTAAGGTGCAGCACTAAGGTATTGATCGACATTGCATGTTCTGCTTTGTTCCATCACTTGATTGGCCGAACATCTCGATTTCCCTTTTGGGCCTTAGTCGCGAGCCCAGGGCCCAGTCCATGACGGGATAATAAGCGGTCGAAGTGGACTTCTCAACACAGCCGGGCGAGCCAACCACAGCCACCTTAGCCCCACAGCGGGGATGCTACCCAAGCACCCCTATACATGTCAGGTCTGTAGGTAAATTGATGTGTTTGTCCCATGTTGAAGACAATGATTGACGTTGGCACACAGCCTCAAAGCTACTAAATCTTCTAGGGATCCGGCTGTGGGGTCCTTTTGAGATGACCTACGCTTCGTCGTAGTGGAGCCCTTCAAGCGGCTCAAACTCACAATTTTTTATTGTATGACAACATCTTTCATAGTAGACAAAAGGCACTATTCCGTAACTCATTATATTCCAAATAAACAAGCTCTATCTGACTAGGAATAAAGACAGTATCAAAGCGAGTCATTGAGAATTCTTACTATGTAGGAGAATCCGTTTCTGCCACGCAGGTCGCGATTCTGTAAAAGCTCCCATTTGATCGACTAATACTCTAATCACAATATATCGCATCGCACATACAAATCCAAACAAATCACTTAAGCTAACTGCCGAAAAAGCCCTTATACTCCTTCAATCTTCCCCTCTGCGGACCTCTCAGTCGGACTCAACTGCACAAAGTCCTTCTCCAATACAGCCGAGACCCCCAGAACCATAGTGATGAGCATGGCGAAAATCTCCTCCAGCACATCCATGCACAAATAGATGGTGGGGCTACCCACCAGCACCGTGAACCGGGTATCAGTCGTGTAATCCCCCATCGCTGAGTACACCAGCCGGACAATGAGCAGAGGACAGGAGAGGGCGATCGCGAGAAAGAGCTTCCTCTGGAAAGCCCGCATGGTGGGGCGAATTTGCACGAAGAGCCATGCGCCGATCGCAACGATGAGGACGAAAATGGCGAGGAAGATGCCCATGGATGCCTTGACTATGCTGTTCACGTGGTATGTGCCGTTGTCATCCGCACTGCTGACACCGGCAATGCCGAGAATCAGGCCAATAATGCCGACGAGGGACACAATGTTGAGGAAGCGGGGAGGGAGGCTTTGCTGCGTGTCGCTGGTGATTCATTGCGGTTAGCTTGTTCTAAAACATGCAGTCGTAGGCATGTTTGATTTGTCGTTGGCACTTACATTTGTCTCAACAGACCGACATAGGTGAGTAGCAGAGGAGCAATGCCGATGAGCTCGCACACCGCTACGGCGACCTCGACATTGTAGGAATCATGGCTGATGGTCAAGAGTGACGCGATGCTGCCGGCAATTCGAATGAGGGAGAGTGTGACTGCGAATCGCCAGATCTTGCTACCAACCCGCCATCCAGTGCGCCTCCAGATAAATATGGCAGCAACGAGAATGAATGGGAATACGATGAGCTGTAGGATAGCGATCCCGTCGCGGTAGGTAACGGTGCCCATTGTAGGTAGTAAGAAAGATGCTAAACAAAAACGTGGTGTTTGCGGCAGTTAAGAAGATCTGAAATTGGATACAGAAATAAAGCAGATAAAGAGAAAGCAGAGGGGAGGTAGCATTTATGTTCCCAAAGGTGGTTGCGGCTGATGTGTTTGGGAAAACACAGCCCTAAAACTTTGAAGTTATTGACGGACGATGAATGGTAGAGCATCTCGCCTACCATAAGCGGACTAGTGCTGACGGGAGCCCAGTGGGTCCCGCGGCCCGCTTTCCAACCCACAAAATACCCAAGGAAACTGAAATCTCTTGGCCCCCGCCGATCTCGGTTGCTTCTCTCTAGTCTCCCTCGAGTCCCTCCACCCCTCCCACCCCACATCACCACCTGCCAATTCACTCTCTGCATGCCGCCAATGCCCCTCCCGCCGCCTTGGATGTTGGACCCAAGCACTTGCTTGAGCTGTTACCAGGATTCAGGATTTACACAGGTTCAATTTTAATTACCGTACACCCTCCTTCCGGTCTCAGATATGTCTGGTCCACGAGTCTCCAAAAGCTGTGGCAACTGCCGAGCCGTCAAACGACGCGTGCGTAACACTCCAATCGGTCTTCCCGTGGTTCAGGGGCGCTGACTATCCCGAACAGTGCGACAAACAGCGCCCCCAATGCGGGCAATGCATTCGACTACGGGAAGAATGTCCCGGCTATCGAGATCAATGGGACCTTGTCTTTCGCGATCAGACCAACCAAACCATCCAGCGGTCGCAGTCTCAGGCAGCCTCGACCGCCATCACACACAGCCCCCTGTCGCCCCCACTCCCCCAGCCCTCACTGTATCCGAGCATGGACCAGGTGGGCGTCAACGCCTTCCTGCATCATTTTGTCACCGGCGACCACAGCCCCTCGCGTGGGTACCTCAACTATATCCCGGCCACTCTGGGCATCAATGACGACCAGCCCACCCTGGTCGCCAGCCTGGCTGCGGTCGGCCTGGTAACGCTGGCGAACTCTCATCGTCAGCCGGAGCTGGTGCGCCAAGCGCGCATCAAGTACGCGGAGGCCATCCGGAGCGTCAACGCTGCCCTGGCCTCGCCCGTGGAGTCAGTCAAGGACAGCACGCTGATGGCCGTTATCTCCCTGGGTGTCTTCGAGCACTTCTCGGACTTTGATGCCTGGGTGCGTCACGTGCAGGGGGCGGCCGCGCTGACCGTGCTCCGCGGCAAGGGCCAATTCGCGCGCGGCAACCCGACCGCCCTCCTCCTCTTCACGCAGGTCCGCACCGACATTATAGCCGCCTGCACCCGCACCAACCGGCCGTTCCCGGCGGACATGCGTGCCCTCCAGGACGAGGCCGCCAAGCACGTGGGCGCCCCCAACGCCATTTGGGAGATAGGGGTGCTGGCTACCCGCTGTGTGGACCTGCTATGGCAGGTGATGGAGAGCACAGGCACAACTCAATTACCCAATCTTCTCGACGCCGCGCTGGTATTAGAGCGGGATTTTGAACTCGCGATGGCAACTCTCGCCGTTCAAGAGCCATTTTACACCACCACCGCGGAAGAAGCGGGATGGGTAGGCGGAAATCCCGACGCAATCTACAATGGTCGCGTCGACTGCTACCTCACCCCGTGGGCGATTCGGGCCTGGAACAACGCGCGCAGCATTCAGATGATCGTCTGTGAAATCATATGCTACCTTTTGAAGAAGATGCTCACGCTGAAACCCTTAGCCCCAACTGCCCAACTCCGCTTGCGCCGTCAGCAACTGCACGAGACCCTCGGAATCCTCTCCCGCGTGGGCGAGGATATTCTGGCCACGGTGCCGCAGGCGCTGGGAATCGTGGCCTCGCCCTCTAATCCATCTCAACCCTACGCAGGGGATGTCAGCCCGAGAGCCAGCGTGTCGGGTGCATACATTCTGATTTGGTGTCTGTACATGGTCGGGAAATCACCCGCCACCGCAGAGCAAGCTCGTAAGTGGATCATTCGACGCTTTCGGGAGATTTTCCAGGGCGCGGGGATGGAGATGGCGCTGCCACTTCTTGAGGACATTGTTAGGATAGATCAGTCGAAGGAGTAAGGTGGCTGTTGGCTGGTGCCACCTCTTTCCAGCAAGTAATATATTAGAAGATGGATGAGAAACCCACGAGATAAGGAGGTCAAACCCTCCCACTAAACGAACGGAGCATAGCCCTATTAAAATCTAAGTGTGGGCCATACTCCGCTAAGTCCTGGAGGGGAACACTGCTACTGCCGAGACCCGAGTTTTCCGGTGCCACATCGCCGACCGTGCCGACAGGATCAAGGATCCGGTCCAAGAGCTGCTCGAGTCGTGCCTGGACTTTTCTGCAGTCCCTATAGTTCCTGGTACCTCGAGGAGGCACCCATGACAGACATGAGACGTAGACGGTGAGGTTGCGGAGGGCTTTTGCATGTGAGAGGCTCGGATACATCTCCCTGTTACCCACAGCACTGGAGCCATAGCGAAGCATCTCAGACAGGAGAATCTCTGCACTAGGAAGTCCATAGGGCAGAAACTAAGGGTGTTCATCAGCGATGGATGGTAGTACAATTGGAGCTAAGTCAATAGAGGTAGTAGATATAGGTGCTGGGGGCGCGGCCCTTGAGGGTGGTGTTCGGGTCGCGGAAGGTCTCGGTGTAGTAGCCTTTTTCGGGGTGGGGGGTGAGGTTGAAGGCCGAAATGACTTGCTGGGTGGTGTGGGTGGTGGTTGCCAGCGCCATTTCTCTCGCGGGGAGTTGGTCTGGTTTTGTGTTCTGCAAAGCTGTGGTTCGATGGGAACGGCTTTGGACAGTCTTTGGAGAGCAGATCGGAAGGTAGGATTAAATGGACATGTTCGCTAGGTAGCGTGTGGGGGCCTTATCAAATCTTGAAAGGGGGGTTATGCGTGTTTGTTGTTGTAGTTGGATATCAATCCTGACGGTACTTCTAACAAGAAAGAACGCTGATCACTACTGGTGATGACTATTACCATTCACTCGCACTCTGATCCTTGCAGTTCCGCATTGCTTACTGTACCGCGCTCCGTCTCCTTCCTGTTCAGGGAGTGCGCTGACTTTGCAATCTCGAATGCATCAAACCCGGACTGATCGCTGGGAGTCAGCGCCAACAAGAGAAGGGAAAGGTGCAGAATGGATTTAGCCAAGGGCATTCCAGCTACTGATCTTTGGTCGCTGTCCAGATATATCTCCAGATTTATCCCCTACTTGTTTGTCTTGGAGGGGCAAGTTCTTTATGGTGTGTGTAGCTTGTGGTTGGGACATCGAGCATCCTTATCCGGCCGCCTGTTTGTCGTCTATGCAACATAAGGCCAGTAGCAGGAAGCATTTGGCGTGTTTGAGTTCGTTACACAGGAGGTCTCCTCTAAAATTGCAAACACATCCTTTGAAAGATTTCTCACTATGGTCCACACCATAATGTACTTACAATCTCTACACCCATGTTGCCCGCATCCCCAAACACCTCGGAACTCTACGACACAAGTCAAGTCGCAAAAGCTTGACACAGCTAGCGAGAGCCAAGATCTAGACCCAACAGTCTTTCAGGATGAACGACGTCAGGCAAGACCTGCCTATTTCTATGACCATGGCCGCATTTACGGGAATCTCCTGGTGGCTCGGACTGGAGGTCACCGCGTCCTTAGTCCTGACCTTCAAGCGCCGTCGAGGGCTATACTTCTGGTCCTGCGCACTCTTTTCATGGACGATCATCCTCCAACCACCTTTTATCATCCTCGCCGACTTCCACGTCTGGACGGATCCCATCCCCTCCATCACCTACGCCAAGATACTGATCATCGTGCTGGACTTCACACTCTTCGGCATCTAGTGCGCCAATATGTTCCACTTGCAGGGGGCATTGAAGCTGTGTGTGTCTATGGTGTCAAGCTCAAGATTGGGTTTATCATCTTGAATCGGCTGCGGGAGGTCATCCTGCGTCCAGCCAGTCGCGGCATATACCTCCGGAGTGAACAAGCGAGCATCCACTTACTAGGGGGAAATGGACTCAGGTCCGATGCTGCCGAGGAGCCGGCTTCCGACCGTGCGAGAATACAGGCGAAATGGGGATACGAATTCATACGAAGCGTTTGTAGACCCCTGTGGTGCAATCTATCCTTTTTCGAATTCAGTTGGCCTACTTGGGTGGGAGAAGGCGACTTAGAGGAATAAAGAAATAAGACGGAAACAAATACCAAGCAAAAACATACAACAGAAGGGATTCGCTGGTGGTCACCCACCCAACTACTAACCTCCCGGCGTGTGGCTTAAGTACGGCTGAGCGGACGGGAAGCCCTGTTTTCCACACCCTGTGGTCGTATGTACGGGGTAACATCCGGCCGTTGATTATATACTATACATCCCACAATATCTTGTCGCGTAGTCCGTTTACCGTATACCATAATTTGCCCCGGTGTTTAAGCGTTCCGTGCCGACTGCACGGATTCTACGGAACAATACTGGCTTCGCGGTTTGAGCACCCACCGCAGGAGGTTTGGTTGGGTACCTTCCCCGTCAATAAGAAATTGTCTCAGGTGTCCTAAGCAAGCTTTTGTGTGGCCAACTAATACTGCCAGAGGCTGTTGCTATAGAAGTTTCGTGACCACACCATGTAGCAGAAACGGCCTACGATTTATAATCGGCCTACCACGTCACCGAACACTATAATACAATAGGCGGATGCTACTGTACTTCTAATTCCAGGTATCACTACGGGTCTACCCCACCGGTCTGCTTCACTCTTCAACTGACCCTGAGCCTATCTGTTGAATACTGCTATCCGAGGACTCGCTTACAGTATGCAGTATGCTCGGCGAATGAGCCGGGATTTCGGCGAATGCGATCCACCCGAGCTGGCCGGAGCCCTCATCCTGCCCGACACTATATAAGGTAATCAATACGCAGAAGTACAGCCAGGACAAGAATCCCCCAAACATATCCCACGGCAGTCAAGCCACTCTTTATTCGTACGAACAACCTGAACAAACATGCAACCGATCACCCTCTACTCGCACCCCATCGGGCCCAACCCGTGGAAGGTCGCCCTCATCCTCTCAGCGCTCCACCTCCCCTACGAGACCGTGATGGTCGACTTCGCCGACGTCAAAAAACCCCCCTACGTGAACCTGTGTCCTAACGGCCGTCTCCCAACCATCGTGGACCCCAACCAGAACAACCTTACGCTGTGGGAGTCCGGCGCCATCGTGAATTACCTGATCGAAACCTACGACTCGAGCCACCAGCTCAGCTACGATACGTTCCCGGAGCGCCACCACCTCCAGCAGTGGCTGCACTTCCAGGTCTCCGGGCAGGGGCCCTACTACGGGCAGCTGGGGTGGTTCCAGCGGCAACCCGAGCAGGTGCCGCTTGCAATCGAGCGGTATACGGCGGAGGTCCGGCGGGTGATGGGGGTGCTGGACCGCGCGTTGGAGGGTAAAAAGTGGCTGGTCGGGGACAAGTGCACGTTTGTGGACTTGTGCTTTGTGCCGTGGCAGGAGTTGGTGCCGTTCATGGTGCGGGATGACGCGGTGGTGCGAGAGCTGGTGGAGCAGTATCCCAATGTGAGGGCGTGGATGGGGCGGATGAAGGGGAGGGAGGAGGTGCAGAAGGTGTTGCGGGAGAAGCGGGAGGCGATGGAGCAGGCGCAGTCAAGCTAGTTCTTTTGCCTTTGCCTCTGGTGTTGGGGTGTGAGGTGTGGGGGGATTTTCTTTGCGGTTTTGTTTATCCTGCGTATAGAGAAAGTATCAGTGGTTGCTGTAGTTTACCGCAGTACCGGTAGTAGCGTCACTTGTTTAAAGGGAAGCAACTCGACAATTTGATAAGGTAACGGTTTTCCTTCCTGATTCGACTGTTAGAAGTCCTCCGGGTTCCAAATTTAAAACACAAATATTAGAAGTCTCCATGCGGTAATTGTTATACATTTAGAATGTGATTGTTGCTTGCGAAATACTACCTAGTACCACATCCACGTTCACAGTTGAGGAAGGGTAAAATTAACAGTGCTCATTGGTTCGTGGCATGGCGATGCTGTGTATATTCACAAATGGACCTTGCCTTGGAAAAAGATTCAGGATATTTGTATACAGCCCACTACCACTACCTACCAAGTCACTAAGGGGCTATCGTGCAGTACAGAAGATTCCCAAGCTTAGACCTACTACTTTTCGTACTCATGTACTATACGCTGACAGATGTGCCAATCAATCAACCAGGGGTCCAGATAGGTCAGGCTGGATTTCGCCGAAATAGTGGGGCCGCCGGCCTTTGCCCACTTTAGCACATCCGATTATCCGTTGGTTCTATAGTACTCACAGGTACTTAAATGCATGACCCTTCATACTCTACTTACGACCGTCCTAGGCAGATATGTTGGACAAAGGACACAATGCCTATGGAGTCAGACAGCTTGAATAGCAATGAACCCAAAACGGTGTCCATCACCTCACCAGAACTTCCGGAGTGGGCGGATGACCCAGCCAATGCACAGAATTGGGGTATACAGAAGAAACTCTATAACACCGCCATACCTTCTATACTCTGTCTTCTGATGTAAGTACAGAGGCAATGAGAATTGAGAGGAAATGATAGCTAACTTCGAGTCCTCCACTTCCAACAGATCTTTTGGACTTGCCATCTACTCGCCCTCCCACGGCCATGTTCAAGCCGCGTTCCACACTTCCTCCACCAAGTCGCTTCTACCTTTCACCATGTACGTATACGGATTGGCATTCGGGCCCATGATTGCGGCTCCCATCAGCGAGACCTATGGGAGGCGTTTCATCTACCTTGTTATGACTCCGCTAGCAATGCTCTTCATCCTCGGCGCAGGGTTCTCAAACAATCTGGCAAGCCTCACGGTGTGCCGCCTACTAGCGGGCATGTTCATCTCCGCTCCGCTGGCTGTTGGAGCTGGCACAATCATGGACATGTGGAGCGGGCCAGCAACCGGTCGCGGGGTGACAATCCTCATGACCATCGCCTTCATGGGCCCCGCTATTGGATCTCTAGTCGGAGGTTGGGTGGCCGAGTACAAGAGCTGGCGCTGGTCGCAGTGGACGACGCTGTTCCTGGGGGCTGCCTGCTGGGCTTTCAGTGCCGGGGCGCAGGAGTCCTACGCCCGCCCAATCCTTCACCGTCGCGCTGTCAGACTGGGACTGCCTGTTCCCCCAAGTCCAATCCCCGGGGGTCTGGCCGGCGTCAAGATGATGCTCACCGTCACCCTGGCACGCCCGGTATACATGCTCCTGACCGAGCCTATCGTGGCTCTGTGCTCGCTCTATTCGTCGCTCAACTTTTCCGTCCTCTTCTGCTTCCTCGCCTGTGTACCTCTCGTGTATACTGATGTTTACGGCTTCACGCCGGGTCAATGCGGGTTGGTGTTCATTTCTCTGGCGCTGGGGTGCGCCCTGGGCTGTCTCGGGCTTCTGGTGTCAGACCAGTATACTCTGGCTCTGCACCGTCGTCACCATCCCGAGGGAGCCCCCGCGCCACCGGAACGAGTTCTATGGGCGGCGATGTTGGCTAGCCCGTGGATGCCGGTAGCATTGTTCTGGTTTGCGTGGACGTCGACTGCCGATGTGCACTGGATGAGCAGCATCGTCGCCATCGGGCTCTTTGGGTGCTCCAACATTATGATCTTCGTTCGTGTCCCTCCTTATTTTTTTATCCGAGTGCGACACCTTTGCTTTATTGACCGCATCGTCATAGGTGTCGACCGCCCTTTATCTGACGCGTGTTTATGGGGCGCAGTTCGGAGCTTCCGCGTTGGCCGCCAATGGTCTGCTGCGGTACGGCATTGGGGGCTCGTTCCCTCTTTTCACTCTCGCCAGTATGGTCTTCTTGTCTGTCCTTTCTCAGTTCTTCATCAGGTCTAATCAGTTGTGTTCAGTGTACCATAACCTAGGTTATAGCTGGGCGTCTAGCTTACTCGGATTCTTAGCCGTGGTGTTCGCGCCTCTGCCGTGGCTGTTCTTCCGCTTGGGAAGTCGCGTCCGGAAGCATAGTGCGTATTCGTCGTGAGTGGAACATAGAAAGCCTGCGATTGCTGGGGATATACTGTATTTAGTGGCTTGAGATAATTTGGGCTAGACTCCGTAACAAATGGATGTGATAGCGATAGAGTGGGAATAGGTAGAGTAGGCATGACTTCGTAAGGCGGCCGATTCATGTTTTGTGGGTGGTAACCAGGACCCATAGATAGGTAACTACAGTATATGCAGTATATACAGTATAACGGCTCGCCGCGCGAGTAGCTATAGCAAAGTACCTTCTCTCCTCAATTCAATCCGGATGAGCATATTTCATCTTCATTCTCCATGCACCTAAGCTTAGAATCTCTGTACGGTACACAATCCCATCACAAGATTTCAACACATTCTTCCTCCAGAGACCCTGCCTTTCCTTCAACCTCACTCCTTGACAATATACCTTGACACCGATACGTTCCAAATGCTCTGGCCGAGACCTGTTCCGCGAACATCTCATCGATCTCCTCCAGCGACCGCTGCTTCAGCTCGGGAACCACGAACCACACAAACACCGTCGCCACCACCGACAATCCTCCATAGATAAACGCCACGCTGCCTCCAATCGCCGCCTGCGTGTACGGGTTCACAAACACTATCACGAGCCCCGTCCCGTACGCCGCGAACCCCGCCAGCGTCACCATCTTCTCGCGCACCGCGGCGGCCGGGGGCACCTCCGCCGTCAGCACCCACGCCAACGGGCCCCAGGTGCTCTGGAACGTGAAAAACCACAGCATCAGCATGACAACCGCGCCGACCTGTCGGCCGTAATTGTCGGTCGGCGTGCACGTCAGCCCGCCGATGATGAGCATGCATGCGCCCAGCAGGGCGGCGGAGACCAGCAGCACGAGCCGGCGGCCCAGGCGATCGGTGATGGCCACACCGGTCAGGTTGCCGGCGATTCCAATCACGTACACAATGACAGACATCAGGAGGACTTGGCGGAAGCCGATCTGTTGCAGGAAGACGGCTTGGTAGTTGGCGACGAAGGAGATGCCCTGCGCTTGCTGGAAGACTTGCGCCCCGACACAGATGATGGTACGGCGACGGTGGATGGGGTTGGTGAAGCAGAGAGACCAGGAGGAGGACTCGTCGGGTTGCTGATCTTCTTGGTGCTGTTGCTGTTGCTGTTGCTTTTGCAACTGCTGTTGCTGTTGCTGTTGCTTTTGCAACTGCTGTTGCTGTTGCTGTTGCTTTTGCAACTGCTGTTGCTGTTGAAGGCGAGCGACCTCGACCTTGGCGTCCGCAAGGGAGATGCCGCGCAGTCGAGCCAGACTGACCCCGGCTTCGTCGAGGCGTCCGCGTTGCATCAGCCAGTAGGGGGACTCGGGAAGAATTGGCAGACTGATCCAGTTCAGTACCGGGATGGCCATCTGCGCCACCACCACCCCGCGCCAGGCCCAGTCCCCGGGGATGTGGCGGCAGAGGTAGACGATGAGGGCCGCCACTAGTCCGCCGACCATCAGGAAGACGTTGTACGTGCCTGCCATCACCCCACGGAGAGCCTGGGGAGCGCATTCGCCCTGGTACACCGGGATCACGTTGGAGGCGATGCCGCCGCCAAAGTAGACGACGGCTTTGCCTACGAGGAACTGGGCATAGCTCGTCTCGCAGGTTGATTCGATGACAACGCCCACGCTCACCACGGCTGACTGGATCCATAGGCTCTTCTTGCGGCCGAACCGTTCGTTCAGCGGGGTGGCACACAGAAGCCCCAGGATGACCCCTGCGTAGCCCAGTCCTGTGCCAAGCGATTGTTGTCGGTCACTCAGCACCCAGGTTCCTTGGACGTGACTGTAGTGTCCAAACCGACTGGCAAATTGCTGCGAGCTCATGATACTCGCCCACCAGGCTTGGTCGAACCCGAACCCGGCGGAGGAGAGGGAACCGAAGATTGCCACGGCCCAGATGATCCATGGCAGATCCCATGTGCTATCAGACACGGCCATCGTGGAGGGAACCAGCAAGGGAAGAAAGATAGATACAAGAAGAGGCTGGAGGCACGTTGTTGCTTCCGGTCGCAGACTTATCTGATTCTTCCTCGTTGCTGAGGACCTTTTGCCGCCTTTTATCTACGCAGAATACGAGAGAGAGAGGCAGCAACTACTCGATGGCATGCCTTGAGCATGATGTTACAGAGGTCTATCGGCTCTCGTGTCATCCAATCGCCACTCGGGTTCATTGGGGAAGGATTCGGGTCTTGCTTGGCGAAGGCAGAAATCCTTCGTGTATGTTCGCTTCAAGCCGGTGGCATCTGCTGAACAGTGAAGGCGGCCGCGGAGGATTCATAGACTTGATCGAGCTTACCAATAATAAGAGAGAGAGAGCGTTTGTCTCCAGAAAATACCGAGCCAGGACCCCGGGTTTCCCCTTCCCCCCTCCCCACACCCACACACTGGTTAGTCCCTGACATACGACCCCCGGTCTTTGCAGGAAAGCCCACGCGATGTGGGACCGACCCACTTGGTTGCTTGAGGGCCCGAGTGGGATTTCTCCCCTACTGTGTAAATCGGCGAAATCCCCCCACTATTTCGCCGACGCTAGAGTAATCCGTTTGCGTTAGAGGCTCACAAGGCTCACAAGAGGTATGGGCCCGCTACGAAAGGCAAGAGACAGCGAAACCTGGCGTTTCTATGGAGTAATTCAGGAATCTCTTGTCTTCACCCCGCCAAAGATGGCAAGAATGCTTTGACCATTGGTTGGTGTGCGCAAATCACCTCAAAAACCACCACTCCCCATCACTTGGACGATCAACCTGCAGACAGCTGAGTCAAGTTGCTCCCTTCGCTTCTAAAGCTTTTGAACTTTCTCTTTCCTGCCCGCAACGAAAAAAAAAATGGACTTGGATACCCCCTCGTCAACTGTGGACCAACTCCTCCAGTCTCTTACACTGGAGGAGAAAGTCGCCTTGCTTGCGGGCAAGAACATGTGGGAAACCGCCAACATCGACCGTTTGCACATCCCCAGTCTGAAGATGACCGACGGCCCGGCCGGAGCCCGCGGGTCCAAATGGACGTACGGCTCTCTGACCACATGGATTCCTTGCGGGGTGTCGCTAGCCGCCACCTTTGACCCGGCCCTGGTGGAGAAAGTCGGGACCATTCTGGGGCAGGAGACCCGACGCAAGGGCTGCCAGGTGCTGCTGGCCCCAACCATGAACTTGTCGCGCTCGCCCTTGGGCGGGCGGAACTTTGAGGGCTACGGGGAGGACCCTTACCTCATTGGCGTCATGGCGACTGCGATGATCCGGGGCATCCAGAGCCAAGGGGTTGGGGCGTGCATGAAGCATTTCATCCTTAACGACACCGAAACTCGGCGGTTCAACGTCGACCAAACGATTGATGCGCGCACCTTACGGGAGGTATACATGAAGCCGTTCACTATGGCCGCGCAGGACGCAGCGCCGTGGACTGCCATGGTCAGCTACCCCAAGATCAACGGGTTACATGCCGATCTTAGTCCCGATATCCTGCCACGCTTGCTGAGAAAGGAGCTACAGTATGATCGTTTGGTCATGAGCGACTGGGGTGGCTTGAATAGCACTGTCGAAAGCTTACTGGCCACGACTGACCTGGAGATGCCGGGTCCGACGGTACGTCGGGGAGAGCGCCTGTTAGCCGCCATCCAGGACGGTCGCCTTGACATGGCTACACACGTCGACCCGAGTGTGCGACGAATGCTGCAGCTGCTGGAACAAACGGGGCTGCTGAAATCTTCCGATCCCACGGACCTGTCTTCTGAGCAGACCACCGACGATCCTGCGTTCCATCAGATCGCGCGCGAGGCCGCGCAGAGTGGCCTTGTGCTGCTGAAGAATGCCGACGTGCTGCCTCTGCAACCTTCAAGGCTGCGGAAGATCGCAATCATTGGGCCTAACGCTCGCAAGCCCACAGCTGGTGGAGCGGGCAGCGCCGCTGTAAATCCTTTCTACATCACCACGCCCGAAGAGTGCCTCCGAAATGCGATTCAAGCTGCGAACCCGGACACCAAGGTCACATATCGGTCCGGGATCCCCGGCAGCCTGCGCCCCCCTCTTTTGGGCAATCAATTAACTGTGCCCAACGGCTCACGCCAGGGTCTTCAAGTGAGCTTCTTTGAAGGTCATACCTTCGAGGGCTCGGCCGTGGCGACCAGTCTGTGGGACGACTCCCTCATTTATCTTATGAGTGATGGCGATATTCCGGCCGCGCTCGAGGGTCGACCGTACTCGTACCAGGCTGCCGGAGTAGTGACTCCATCCGAATCGGGCCGCTACACTTGGAGCCTAGCCAACACCGGGAAAGCAAGGTTGTTCCTCGACGACGAGTTGCTCATCGACAACAGTGAGTGGAGCGTAGTGACTGGTGGGTTCTTGGGTTGCTCGAGTGAGGACCGGATCGCTAGCATCCATCTCGAGGCTGGTCGCGCCTACCGGCTGCGAGTAGACAACGTCGTCACCTTGCCGCTTGTTGATGCTTTCGACAACACGCTATTCCCTCGCGTATCGGGCGTGCGCGTGGGACTCGCCTTGGAGCGGGATGAGACGCTGATGTTGGATCAGGCCGTCGATTCGGCCCGCGAAGCCGACGTGGCCGTGGTCGTAGTCGGCCACAACAAGGATTCCGAAGGGGAGGGAGGCGACCGGGCGCACATGCAGCTGCCAGGTCGCACCGACGAGCTGGTGGCGGCCGTCTGTGCCGCCAACCCCAATACGATTGTCGTCGTGCAGGCGGCCAGTGCGGTAACCATGCCTTGGGTGGATGCCGCAGCGGGTATTGTGATGGCCTGGTACCAGGGCCAGGAAAACGGCCAGGCCCTGGCGCAGGCTCTTCTAGGTCATTGCAACTTTTCGGGCAAGCTTCCCATCACCTTTCCGCAGCGATTCGAGGATCATGGCTCGCACGCTTGGTTTCCTGGGGAGGCTGCGCAGGATCGCAACACTTTTGGAGAAGAGGTGCTAGTTGGGTATCGGTACCTTGACATCCAAGGAATTCCGCCCCTTTGGTCATTTGGATTCGGCCTCTCGTACACTCGCTTTGAGCTCGAAGATATTCGCATCAGTGGAACCATAAGCGTCTCTTCTCCTGAGACCAGGGTTTCAATCCACGCGCGAGTTCTCAATGTTGGGGGTTGCGACGGACAGGAAGTGGTGCAGGTGTACGTGGCCCCCTCCGCACAGATTGCGGAGACGGGCCTTGTCGGTTATTCCAGGACGTTGGCGGGGTTTAGCAAAGTCATTGTGCCGGCAGGAGAGCTGCGCGAAGTGACTATTCCCATTCCTGGATCGGAGCTTAGGTGGTATGATGCGAAGACTGGGCAGTGGCGACTGGATGCGGGCAAGTATAAGTGCTGGGTAGGGCGTAGCCTCTATGAAGTCGACAAGGAGTTGGAGATTCAGATAGAATAGTAGAAGTGATGCGTAGCAAAAGTGCAATGATTGCTTCCTGAGTGTCACATAGTGATGTGGTGATTATGATCGTGGTACTATGAGTGGAAAAGATGACGGTGGTGGATGAATGCATTCGATGATGGCTTTCGGAGCAATATATAATCCGAAAATCGGCTGCTGTTCAGCTTCTTCTATCCCACCGCTTCCTCTCAGCTAAACTCCGTACTCATTATACTTCTCCTACTCCTCCTTGCACAAATCTGAACTCTCTACTGTCGTCATGGAATGCACTACTCCTGTAGCCTGTCTAAACTGCCGAGACAAGCACCTAAAATGCGATGGAAATCTGGCTGGATGTACTCGATGCCAGTCGCTTAGTCTTCCGTGCCACTTCATCCCCTCTCGCCGTGGCCGCAAATGTCGTCCAACTTTGCCAGCGTCTTCCATTCTATCACTACCTTCACCAGCATCATCGATGCCAATGGCTCAGCTGAATGAGCAGCAACTACCACAGCACGAACAACAACAGTCCCAAGAACAGGACCTGCAACAATTCGCTTCGTTTCGGAGACGGCAACAAGGCTGGCAGTTGATTTCACTGTACTATCTCCATTTCCACCAGGCACATCCTTTCCTGCCCCCGATGGAAACTCTCCTAGAATCTAATCCTCCTTCCTACTTACTGGATATCCTAGAATTTACCAGTCTACATTATCTATCGTCCCAATTTTGCCATGACAGCAGCAAGACACTCCTTCTGGCGGTGCAGGCAGCCGAGCTCAGTGTCGAAAAGACCCAGGCTTTTCTGCTTCTGGCCATTGTGCAACACGGGCGACAGCAAGGCCACGAGGCTCGATCTTGTCTCGGCCAGGCCCTTCAGTGTGCGCTGGAATTGGATCTGCACCGTCGCGAGGTTTCCGACGCGCTTGCCGCCGATGCTCCCTTGAGAGCAGAGAGTATCCGACGAACCTGGTGGGAGATCTTCGTGGTCGATGTGCTACTCGCAGCCGTTCAGGCCGATGGATATCTCCAATTTGAGATGAAGGAGACTCCCGAAGTCCCCCTCCCTTGCGGACCAGAGGAGTATCAGCCAGGCTGTATTATGAGTCCTCTCCTGCCCACGCTCGGCGACTTGGAACACAATAGTCTGTTCTGCGGAGATGTCGAGTTTTCACCCTGTGCCTACCGGATAGAAGCCGCCATGATGTTGCGAAAATGCTTGTGCGCGGGTGAGACACATGTCACCAAGGAGATGCTCGACGTACTCAGCGCCGCCATCACCGCTTGGTTCCATCGGTTGCCATCGAGTCAACGGCCCATCCTCCAGTCGAACGGCATCTTGGACGAGGCAATGATGCAGGCTGTGATGTTGATGCACTGCGCCAGTATCTACCTGCACTTTCCGCGCTCTTGCCTTCTAGCCTTTCTCCCCATCACCGGCCGTGTCCTTTGTTCGTCGCCGCCCGCGCTCGTCACCACTTCCCCGGATCCTCAATTGCACACCGCAAAGGTAGCGGAGAGCGCCGTCCAACTCTCTCGACTGGCGTCATTGTCACCCTCGGTCATCGACCACAGTCCGTTCTTTGGCTGCACACTGGTGATAAGCTCCGTGATACACGTAGCACTCATGCTCAGCGATGGCCTGCAACCTCCGGGGCCCAGGCAACAGTATCTGGCGCTGAATCTGGGAGTCCTCAAGTCAATGGGGGAGACGTGGCCCATTGCTGCCAGCGCGATGCAACGGATTCGTCAGGCTGTAATCGAGGTTCACACAGCAATCTCGTGCGACACTCGTCCTCTGCTGGACCTTTTTTCTCCCTCCAAGTCAGATTGACTTCACAAAGACAGACCATCTGGGCCCGGATCAAGCGCTCCTCATTTGCTCACCGATCCTAGGCGTAAATATGATTTTGTTGGGGGTTTCTTGTGGACATCACCTGTAGCACCCCACGCTAGGAATCCTTTTAGACCGAGGCCAAGATTTGCCACATGAGGCAATTTTATCTATGATGCTAGCAGAGAATCCCAGTCGCGGCAAACATCCCACCGGCATGACAAATATGCTTACTTTGAGCCTCCAGATGAGGAAGGTGGGTCATCAGACCACAGACTACCATGTAAGACCAGTTGGCTGAGTCCTGAACACTGGCCTCCACTTGCCCTCAGCTAGCGTCCTCGTATAACCCTCGGTGACCCACAGCGAGGGTCTGAAGTATGGCCCTGGCATCACGATAGCCATTCGTTTGACCTTCTCTTCACCATGAAGATTCTGGTTGATGGTCAATTGAAATCATGTCTGCGTGGTCGTCGGGAAGGATCGCAGGATTCGGCGAGGTTGCTTCCATCCAAAGACACGCTAGGAAAGCCTGAAAGTCCATGGTATGATGTTCAATCGACGTGTCGAAAAGGGTATAAATAATGTCGTTGAAGGATGCAGCCATGCCTCCCAAGAGTTGCAAATCGCTTGTCGGTTACGCAAAATGAAGGTGTCGTTGAAACGCTTGGCTTTGACCTGGGGCCTCATGGCTGCCCTCGAGGCAGGCCTAACCTCAGCTCAGTCGGCCTCCAAACCGCCCAACTTCCTTTTCATCATGGCGGATGACCAAGATCTGAAACTGGACTCTCTATCGTATATGCCCTTGACTACCAAGCATATGCAAGACAAGGGAATGTCTTTCATGAATCACTTCGTGACCACGGCCTTGTGTTGCCCGTCGCGGGTCAGTCTTTTGACTGGACGGCAGGCCCACAACACCAATGTGACAGACGTGCACCCCCCATGGGGTAGGTTGCTTTACCCAAACTTACTGCTCTGAGACTGACCGGAGATAGGTGGTTATCCTAAGTTCATTAGTCAGGGGTTCAATGACAACTACCTTCCCGTCTGGATGCAGCAGGCTGGGTACGACACGTACTACACTGGCAAGTTGATGAACGCACAATCCCTCGAGAACTACAACAAGCCCCATGCCGCTGGGTTCAATGGCTCCGACTTCGTTCTGGACCCCTACACCTACGACTACATGAACGCCACGTATCAGCGGAACCACGACCTGCCTGTCAGTTACCTCGGCCGTCACACCACCGAGGTCCTAACCGAGAAGGCCATGGGTTTTTTGGAAGATGCGCTTGCCGGCGAACGTCCCTTCTTCCTGACCGTGACCCCGATCGCACCTCACTCGAACATGAACGGGACCTACGGTGGGGGGGCCGGGCCGTTGTGGATGGATGAGCCCATCCCGGAAGAACGTCATAAGCATCTCTTCCCCGACGCCAAAGTTCCCCGTACGGCCAACTTCAATCCCAAGGAGGTAAGTCCTCCACATTCTATACTCGCTATTTAGCGGAACCACGTCCTGACCGTCCTAGCCCACTGGTGTCAGCTGGATCCACCAACTTCCCTACCGCAACCAATCCGTCATTGATTACAACGACCACTACTACCGACAGCGACTGCGAGCCCTACAGGGTGTCGATGAACTGGTCGACTCCCTCATCACCCGCCTCGAGGCAAGTGCCCAGATCAACAACACCTACATCATCTACACGTCCGACAATGGATTCCACATCAGCCAGCACCGGCTGCCCCCTGGCAAAACCTGCGCGTTTGACGAGGACATCCGCGTGCCGTTCTTCATCCGTGGGCCGGGAATCCCAGAAGGCCAGGAGCAAGACATCGTCACCACCCATATCGACATTGCCCCAACGCTGTTTTCCTTGGCGAGCCTGCCGCTCCGTGACGATTTCGACGGGACTCCCATGCCTGTTGCCGAGGTCGAGGGAAAGCTGCACGAGCATGTAGCGGTCGAGTACTGGGGACAGGCAATGCTAGAGGGTGGTCTGTCCAATCTAGGTAATCTCTCTGTGCACCGTCCCCGCCAATCCAATGTCTCTACTGACGCCAACGAATGAGATACAGGCACACCCACCGTCCCCAACAACACCTACAAGGCTGTCCGCATCCTCAGCCAAGAGTACAACCTCTTTTACTCCGTCTGGTGTAATAACGAGCACGAGCTCTACGATTTGAGTGTATGTTAAATTGTCCCCAGCCCCACTAGACCCTGCGATTACTGAACCCAAATCCAGACCGACCCCTACCAAGTCAACAACCTCCACCCGCACGTCTCAACCACGAACGCGACAATCCTGGGCTTTGAGATTCCCGCGGTGATTGATCGCCTGGATGCTCTGTTGCTTGTACTGAAGTCATGCCAGGGCAGGACTTGCATCAAGCCGTGGGAGGTTCTCCACCCGGACGGGTCGGTGAGCAACTTGCTGGAGGCTATGGATGCACGGTACGATGGGTTTTATGGCGACCAGTTTAAGGTGTCGTTTGATCGCTGCGAGTATGCGTATATCATTGATGCGGAGGGCCCGCAGACGGCGCTGGCGTTCAGGAATGGGTACTCTTTGGAGCAGTGGATTTAGACGGCTCGAGTGACGAGCAGCAGGCGGGGAACCATTTAGGCTATGAGTACATTCTGATCTTGTTAAAGTCCAGGTGGTCGTGATGTCGGTTAGGAAAATTCGATGGCCGATTGATTTCCTAGCCTGCTGAATATATATAAAGCTTGACTTGTCGGTGCTCGGGTTACAAACTGGTAATGGAGGGCCTAGAAGATTGTCAGTCGGTGCAGCTACCGAGGGTACAGTTGCCTATACCTACATACAAATTGGTCCTATTTTGAATCCAGCTAAGATCAGGTCGCTGGCAGGATTCCATGGTTTTCCATGGTTATCCTCGGCGATTAATTACCAACCCTGAAGCGGAAAAGTGGCGACTCCGGGAGATCCGGTGGGATGAAAAGGGTGGATTTGTGGAGCCGGTGGGATGGATTTCCATACAACCAATTCATCATCTCCTTCTATCTCCTTCTCTCCCCACGCTCAATCAATCAAACACAGGGTCCTGGAGAAAGAGGCAGCAAGGAAGATGTCCCCCTCACGAGGCCCTTCTTCAACTCGATTCAAGTGCCGGATATCCGGATGCAACTCCAGCTTCCAGCGCAAAGAGCACCGCAACCGCCATGAAGGGCAGCATACGGGGGCCTTGGCGCGGGCCTGTCCCTTTTGCGCCCGGTCATTCTCCAGAGGGTATGTATGGTAACTAGTGTTTAGTACAACAGAAAGAGACACTAACCAATGTTCAGTGACTCCCTCCGTCGTCACATTCGTCTAGACCACCACGATTCACAAGCGACCACGAACACAACCACATCGACTCGAACAGCCAAAGCATGCCTGGGCTGCCGCCAGGCCAAGACCCGCTGCGGCGGGGGCAAGCCTTGCAATCGCTGTCGCGCTCAGCCACAACCCTGTATCTACGATCAACCTCAAGAACCACTACAACCACAGCTACCATCCCCAGACGTCCAGTCCCTCTCGCCCCAATCTCCCCCTAGCGAGGATGATTCTACCGCCCGATTCACCCCCTACATCCACCTCTACTTCACCCACTTCCACCCCCACTGGCCCGTCCTGCATCGTGCCACCTTTAGCCCCCCCGACGAGCCCCTCCTGCTCTTACAGGTGGTCTCCATGATCGGCCTATGGGTCAGCGACACCACCTCGTCTCGTGAAGCGGCGATCAGTCTCCATCGCAAACTGGGATCTTCAATCCTAGCACAGCAGGTACTGTACCCCCCCTGCTGGCGGCCGCCCAGTCTCCTATCCACGCAGTAAAAACTAACCACGGAACACCAGGACAAATGGGCACGCTCCATCTCCTTCGCTACAGAATTTCCTGACAATGATACCAATCTGTCAGTGCAAGAAATCGTCTCGCGATGTCCCGTAGCCACCTACCAGGCAATCCTCTTGTATCTCATTTTCTCGTTGGTGCTTACCCGCACTGGCCACGGCACCAGTGATGGTCGCAACCACCTTTTGCGAGCCGTAGATCTAAGCCTCACCCTCTCCCCCCAAGACACCCATATCCTCTCCGTCCTCGTCACCACCTGCCTCCGCAACCACGTCTTCTACTACCCGCTAATGCTGAAGCGGTACCATGAGACCATCGACTCGGTCGCCTGTATCTGGGTGGGGGTCGAGGAGCTGAAACGCCTGGGCTTGGCCATGTACAAGGTCTGTCGGTTGAGTGGGCACGGGGCTCGAATGGTGGAGAGCCACGAGCTGGCGATGGGCAACGATGAACAAGAACAGCGGGGCGTCTTGCGTCTTTCGGATCTGCAGTTTCCGCCGCCCGATAGTCGGCATTTGTGGGAGGCGCAGTCGAATCCGGAGCTGGCGCGGTTGCTGCAGATCGAGGCGCGTACTCGCGGGGGTGCGGCGTCGCGGTTGGATGGTCGCGAGGAAGGGAATTGGGTTTCGGCATGTGGGAGGGTCCTGGAGGATGAGAGGGATACCTGGTGGTTGTGATTGGGTTCGTAATGATATATTAAAAACATGATCGCATGGAGACGATGTAGTGAAACAAATATCCCTGCCCGTGTAATGAAACAAATTTATACCACAATCTATACAAACAGCACTCCACTCGAGAATCTACTTTCCCGATGCCTATGTAATATGGCAGCCTTTTCAACCCCCTTCCGAGTTAGTCACCAAACCAACCTCTAAAGGACGGCCCTCTCCACACCAGGAGTCAACCAGCACACCTTGCCGTCAATCTTCTCCTCCTCAAACACCTGCCGCAGCTCCTCCTGATGCTGCGTAAAGTGCTCCCAGGACTCGAAATGGATGGGCACCATCACATCTGCTCCCGTCACACGCATCAGATGGGCCGCCTGCTTCCCATCAAAGGTGATCTGTAGCATCCCCTTTGGGGTGGGAAACAGGGCATTGCCCAAGTTCACCACCGCCACCGCCACATGCCACTTCTTGCGGATCTCCGCCAGCTCGTTGATCCAGACTGTATCCCCGGAGAAATACACCACATTGCGGAGACCGTCATCACTCACGCCGAACGAGTCGCACTCGACGATGAACCCCGTGACCTCACCGCCGGGGAAATGCTGGCAGGGCGTGCCGGTGATGCGGAAGCGCTTGCCGCCGAGGACGGCCTCGACCGTCTGCCAGGGCTGCAGGCCGACCACGCCGGGCCGCGGGGCCAGGTTGCGGGCGCCGTCCGGAGTCGTGAACACGTGGCGGCCGTCGAGGAGCTGCCGGCCCAGGGGGTCGAGGTTGTCGACGTGGTCCTCGTGGCTGAGCAGGATGGCGTCGATGGGCGGCAGCTCGTGTAGCTGCAGCGCCGGGCCGGCCTGGCTGCGCAGCTTCACGGGGGGTGGGGGCTGCTCGTAGCCCCAGGCGGCCCAGTCAGCTTTGGCCCATCCGTCGTAGTCGTACTCCGATCCGGCGGGGCAGAAGACAGGATCGGTCAAGAAGCGCACGCCGTCGATGGTGATGATCGCTGTCGCGGTGGTGATGTGCGTTACGGAGACGGAACCTTGGAAGGCGGGCATTTTGACGTTTCTTCTTGTGACTAGGGGTTTCGCTCTCGAGGTTTTCTTTTTTTCTTTTTTTCTCTTGGCAAGAAAAGATACTCAGAATGAGAATTGCAGTGAGATGGATGAAGAATGAGGAGCTATCAGTTGTAGTGGTGATGTTGCGCCCTTATATAGCGTATTTTGCTGCTGATTCCTCTCCTAATTTCATTTTGATCCTCCCACCGGAATACCGTCATTGCCAAACTTTTACTCATCACGATTAGATCAACTTAGTCATTCGTTCCATATGATAAATCCTTACAAAAGCGGTTTCAATGTCTCACGATGGCCCCATCTGTTAGATTGAGATGATTCCGCATTGATTCCAGAAGCTCAGATGGTTGTCATACGGTATCCCACATATCCTACCATCCCACAACCGTACCGCAGCGGCGCTGAGGAGAACAGGCTCAAGACTACTTATAGGATCTACTGACTGCTACGCCACGTGCTAATTGATATTGTGGATTTTATACCTATTAGTCTACTGGTACTCTAGATACTTATTATCTGATGCATTGGTAGCCGACAAGTATTTTGACTTTGTTGGGCACGCACACTCTGGTGGTGATCTAGCTTAATCGAAGACCATGGGAAATAGGTCAGTGCAAACAAGCTCAATTGTTCTTAACCAAGCAGGAGTTCACATTCCCGCACCAATACAGTGTGATAGAGAAGCGAGCTTCTGAGACTATATATGCAAGGTTAAATAACAAAGTGCTCCTATTGCGGCGGCGCGAGTTTTGGGCCATTCAGCTCAGGAGGCCTCCATATTCTCTAACCATTGACAGAGATCTTGGTTGTTTTAGGGTTTCGACGATTCCACCATACTATCCCGGTCGTAATGAAGCGAAAGTAGAGTCTTGAAACCGGATTACATCGCCTGTGACGGGAAACAACAAAAGAAATATCATTTCAACAATCTGTGACATTTCGGATCCCAGTACAATAGAGCTTGACTTGCGCACTATCTACAACTTCCCTGCTCGAATTTCCCGCTCGATTCACACCATAATATACCGCCCAGCCTCATGCATCACAGATCTCAGCATTCTGACGAGATAATGCTCCCCTGTACACTCAGTGCCCACCGTGGCGCTTGTCAACCCCAATTCCAAATGGCGATTCACACTACGAAGCGCGTCACCTCTTAGCGCCGTCGCCAAAATCTGACGCCGCGCTGCATGCGCGTCGATCGACGCTTTTGGTGGGTTAAGCGTAACGGGTGATGCTATTGATTTCTCTAAGAAGGTCTTCTGATAATAATTTACTCTATATATGGGTAGTCATGAAGTCTTTCTCTGTCAAGATTCCAATTAGAATGTCTCATGGTGGCTAGTCATGTTCCTGCCAAGCGGTACTCAATTCCCTGTTTATTGTCTTCCTGTTTCTCCCCCTCCATCTGTTTCCCAAATCATTCACCCCAAAGAATACAACTAATAAACGGAGGAACAGAAACCTCACCGCCACCCGCCCGGAGTATCCGGCCGCCCTCTCCTCCACTTCCCGCCTCTCCCTCCGATTCCAGGGCGGGCCGTTCCGCGGCGAGGAGCTGGCTGCGTTCGAGACTCACCCGTTGCGCGATGAGATGGTAGCACTGCGGTTGTGGGATGATGCGGGTAAGATCCCCGGGATTGTAGATAGTACGCCGCGCGCGGGGGAGTATCTAGCAATGATTGTGGAGCATTCGAAAGAGAAGCAGAGGAGGTTGTACTGATTGGATTCTTGGAGCAGGTATGCGAGAGAAGGGCTGGATGGATTCCCGGCTAAGGTTATCGATGCGGTTGATTCAATGAAGGGGTCAGGTACATCACGAGCTGTAGAAGAAGCTTAAGGGGGCAAGTTACTGTCTACGGGACTTTGAACAGAACAGTAGACCCAGTGAATCCAAACCATATAAGCACGACGTTCCTCAAAAAGCTATATACCGGAAGCTGGAATGAAGTCGGTATATAACAGAGTTCACAAAACTGAGGGAAGTGTTACTTGGGGTATATGTACTATTCACTTGTCATCGATGTGATAAACCCCGGAAAGGAAACATGAATTAAGCATCATCCGAGTCTAACGTTAGAAATAGTCGCATGGAAAACATCGTATTATTGTTGTTCCGTCGAATTTTGCGTAGGGTTCCATCGGAACGCTTCTATTTCATTCCCAGCTGCCGTATCCCCACATCTTAAACCCTTCCCACCGTCCTAAAATGTCTAGTGTGCAAGTAGTTCCAAGATTAGGGCTTTTCGGGTTATTATCATCAAGATTAGGCTAAGGACAATGTACAGCGGACGATTGCCGCCATCAGGCAAATGAGTTTTTGCTTGGTTTTTTGCCGGCAGAATCAATTCATCTCCTAGATAGGCTACTTAAGCGAGTATTTGTACGTATATAAAGCTTTTTAACTTACTTAGCTTTATCTTACAGCTACTAGTTCTAAGTACTACAGAGAGGTACAAGTCTTACTTAGGTTGCTGTATACAGGTATTCTATACAGTTGGGGTGTATAAAAAAAAATATTAGAAACTAAATATATTTTAATTAATTTTAATAACTTCGTCCGGAATAATAATTACAGGGATCTTTTTAATATCTTCCTTTTTTATAGAAGGGGGCCGGCGGGCAGAAACTAAAACAATATTCTTTTTCTTTTTCTACTTTTTTTTTACTACCTTCTCCTCCTCTTCTTTAAATCCCAGTAAGATTGGATTTATACGGGCTCCCGGAGCAGGCAACCCCCTTTTAATAATAAAAGTAGGGGGATTAGCCGGTTGTACAGCCTCCTATACTAAATCTTAAATAGAGTAATAAGATCCTATATCCGGCTATTTATAATTAGCGCATGCTCTACCGAATGCGCTAGATAAGTAGCAGTATTTTAGAAAGATACCAGCTTTACTAGTACAGCAGCTAGTATAAGTTTTAGATAGAAGACTTTTTAAAGACTGGATTAGCAGGGCATTAATATAGGACGGCTGATATAAAATAATCTAATAAGCTTAGATCCGGCTGTATTAGAACTTAACATCATATACCTTATATAAAATAAGTATGGTTCTTTCTATATTGGTATAGATATACAGAGCAAGCATCTTTAGATTACTATAAAAAATCACTAGATTGCGGCCCTTTAAAAGCCCGGTGTACAACTAGTCCTAGTATCTCTACAGATCTAGGGATATGTATATCCTAAAAAAAGTATAGTTAGGGGGGGGGCGGGCAGCACAGTATAAAATAAAGCAGAGGATATTATTATTATTATTATTATTTTTATTACTTATACAAAGTCAGTTAGCACTATCTTTATTAATTTTTATTATTTCTTTTGTCTGAAAGAAAATAGGAATTAAATAATTAAGCTTAGCTATCACTTCTCCGCAGGCAAATATTTATTAATATTCTAGTTTTATATATACTATAGTTCTTACTAGAGTGTTTCTTTATATACAGTAAAACTATAAAGTATTTTACAGATAATTATAGTTTATAAATAATTTGCTACTAACTATTTAAGGTTGCTTTAGCTGCTTTTATACAGAATACTTATTCTAAATCTAAGTATAAAAAGAGATCTGATTTTAAAAATAAGATATATAAACAGTATATAAAGCTATTTAATCTGATTTAGAAAATGCAGAGAAGAGACCAGTTTTTTAAAGTATTATAAAGTAGTTCTAATACTAATTAACTAAAAGATTTTAAATATAAAACTAGTGTACAAACCCTCCATCTAATAATAAGTACTTTACTTAACTGTGCCTACTAAGACTTAATTTTTTAATTAACAGTGCTGGTCCTATAAATATAATATTCTTTTAGTATAATTTAAGGCTTATATGTCTGGCGGAGTTTATAATAGGCTTTACTAAATATAACAGTCTTTATTTTATAGTCTGATTAAATCTTATTGTACATGCTTTTACACAGTTGTACAGTATTAAAATATTAGTAAAAAATACTAACTGCTGTATATACTGTAATCCCAGTATAAGTCCAGATAATATAGTAAGAGTAAGTATTAATTGTAGTATAGATCTTAAAACTATACAGCTGCAGCTTTATATAACTGTTAATTAACTATAGGAAATCAGGGCTAGGAATAATATATAAGCCTTATTATTGCTGGAGATTATGCTTTTTTTATTTTATAGTAGTAGAAGCAATTATATAGTAGATATTAAATAACCAGTTACTAAACTTTAAATAGTTAGCAATAGCTTTCAGGGATATGTATAAATACAGACTGTAGGATAACTAGATTCTGGCTGTATATATAAAAATAAAAAAGCTGCCGGCTGTATTTTTAAATAGTTTTTTTATTAAACTCTGTAAGAAGGACTTTGGTAGCTTTATCTGCCTGGAGTTACTATTCTGCTAAATTATTTATCTGTTATATAAGTCCAAGTTCTGTACGGATCCTTTTAAGTATTCTTTTTAAAATAGAATAGCCTTTTTTTTAGAATACTAAATAAAGTTCTGACTCTGAGAGACTCTGCTGAAAAAATAACTCCTTAATTCTTCTATATAAAACTTAATTAGTAGTAGCCGTACAGTCTTGCTTTTAAATACTCCAGATACTTAATCGACTCTTAATCGTACGTTCTGCAACCTAAATAGAGTGTTTTTTCTGGAGGGCAGAGACAATACCTATAGCAGATTTACTCTGTTAATAGAAAGAGATAATTTTAGTCTTAAAAGGCTCAAGATCAATATATAGAGGCATGGCTGATGGAATAAGAAAGAATATACATACACAGAGAGAAAGAAGAAGCTTTATATAGTTCTTGTTTAGGAAGCGGTAAGGCCTGCGGTAAAGAGACTTAGCAGATAAAATCTATTTGCCCGATGGCGGCAATCGTCCGCCGTAGACAATGTGTCCCCACCCAATCAAACTCCCAGCTTCCCTCGACTACTACACAGGCCATGTTTTAGCGCCGAGACCCTGGCTGAGTTACCATGTGGTTGGCTTTGGTGATGTTCTTGGCTGTCAGCGGCTCAGCCTTGACCTTGGCCAAGAAAAAAACCCCTCTCACTCCGCTCATAAAGATGCCTTGCGTGTTGTCATGCCCAGCGACCTCAAGACATAGTCCCCTACGTCTTTGTCCGACGTCTAGTACATCTCATGCAGATATCAGGTCGCTCATCGCGCCTTTCACGGGCGAGCAGCGTGCACAGCGGCCACGGTCAAGCCCAGTACGAATCCTTGGAGCTGGTGTCCCGGGCCCCCTCACCAGAAGATAATGCCCAACCCCGTCCATCCCACGATGGCAACAAGATCGACCCTGTGACTGAGGGCGAGATAATGATTCCTCCAGATGAAGCCAACGACCCTGAGAAGAAAAAGTCAACCTGGACGGTGATACAGGAGTGGTACGTCCTAGAGCTGGCGAGCATGCTCGTCGCAGCGGGATGCGTGGTCGCGACGGTGATCGTCCTCCGGCGCTACGACCGCCGCCCGCAGCCCGCGTGGCGGTATATGTCGCTCAACGCCCTCATCTCCTGGCTCAGCACCATCTCCAAGGCGTGTATCCTGTTTGCCGTGAGCGAGGCGCTAGGCCAGCTGAAATGGGTGTGGTTCGCGCAGGGCCGTCGGCGGCCTCTACCGAATCTGCAGACGTTTGACTCAGCCAGTCGGGGGCTGTACGGCAGCGCGCAGTTAATTTGGATGCTCAGGGGACGGTTAGTTGCGTCACCGATTATCTTTATCTAATCACAAGAATGGTGAACTAATTACGGGGTAGACATTTTGCTATCTGGGGAAGTTTGGCGGTGATTCTCGCCTTGGCGTATGACCCATCGGTCCAGAACCTGATCCACTATTACTCGGATCTGATGGAAGATGCTCATCAGCAGGCGTGGGTAGCGAATACCTCGACGTACGCTTCGTATGGAAGCGGGATGCTGGGGAGTGGTACGTTGCTCAGCAATCCTCAAACAAAAAAATTGCTGAAATATGATCAACAGATCCGTGGGTGGACCCCGTCCTCAAGGGCAACGTCTACAATGCACTCTTCAACCTGGACGACACCCGCCCGTGGGCCACGCCGCATTATGTCTGCAGCTCGGGGAACTGCACGTGGAGCCCCGTGGCGGCGCTAGGAGCGCGAGCACTGTGCTCCGACGTGACGCAGCACCTGGAGACCAAGAATGCCTCGGTGGAGACTGGGGGCGGGCTGAAGAACACGGTGTTTCTCCCCAACTCCACCGTCACGGTCTGGTTCAACGCCTCCTACGTTGGAGACCAGGTCTACATGGCCATGGACACCGTCGACCCGCGGCTCGCCCGCGTCTACAACAACGCCACCTACCCGCCGATCCAGTTCATCGCCCCGCGCGGCTACAACAGCAGTAGCGGCGACCGCTATCCGCGGCTAACGTCGATGTCTCAATTTCAGGCCACGGAGTGCAGTCTCGAGCCCACCGTGTATAGCTTCAATGCCAGTGTCCACAGTAACGTGTATCGCGAAGAAATCCTCACGGTGTGGTCCAGAGACATGAGAGCGCAGTCAACGAAGAGGGGTGTGATGCCCCCGTTCAAGGGCTCCCCGCCCGGCTGGGGTACTGCTGAAGGCATAATGCAGCCCAACCAGACCTTTCTCATCACCGACACCGCCAGCAGCGGTCTGGGCACCTTCCTCCAGTACCTCTTCGCGGGATCCTATCGCGTGACGGGCTCCAAGACCCGACTGCAGGTCGACCAGGGCACCGCCTACGCCACCGCCGATACCATCCAGGCCCTCATGAGCGGCAACATGACCGGCTGCTCCATGCAGACGTCCGACAAATTTGCCTGCGCGATGCGCAACGTCGCCGCTGCTGTGACCAAGTCCTTCCGCGACGCCGCGTACATCGCTGCGGACTCGGATGTCGCGGCAGCTAACATGACAGCAGGTCATGGCTGGGTCAACCAGACTTACGTTGAGGTGCATTGGCAGTGGGTCACGCTGCCGGTCGTGGTATGGGTGCTCGGGTTGCTGACGCTGCTGGGCGCGGGGTGGAAGACGCGTCGGAGTGAGGTGCCGAGCTGGCGGAATAATCCGATGCCGTTGCTGTTTCTGTATCGGGAGGGCAAGTGGGAGGGGGGGCATACAAATGAGGAACTTATTTCTAGACGAGATGATGCGGCAGTGATGTTGTGCAAAGATAATGGTGGCTTTGTGTTGGCGTGATAGCGATGGCTCGCTGAGACCTGGATACGGTGAAGGGTTAGCTCGATGGTTTTGTCTGTATAAGCAAAGAACGTAAGTTTCCTCGTGATCTGTACGACCAGGTTTGGACCACAAATGTAAGGGAAGCATGCTCATTGTAGTTGTACTGGAGTGGGTGTACTGGTAAATTGTGTGGTTGTGGGGAGGGCGTGAATGCGGCTAATTTATTGATCGCACTGTAGGTAATTTGTCCATGGAATGGGAGGAAGTGCAACCGCCGAACTTAGACCTGCTTTCTGCTTCTAGAAAACCCAAAGAAAATCGACACAGCTACACAGTCTTATGGCCTGGAACTAAAATTAGACCTTACATTCATTGAGAGTACTCCTTCAGGATAATGTGGGTTGAGGATATTCATCTGAAGAAAGATAGTCGACCGACTTGCATGTGAAAGAAATGTGCCAGATCAAAGATAGAATATTCCTATGCAGTGGCGAGCCACACACTTTTAGACCTATGCTAAGATCCGACCTCATCCCCATCAATGTACAGCAGGTTTTTATGCGGGTTGTAGTACTACGAGGCCGGATTCTCTGATGTGTGCATTTTGGATTTCATTATAAGACATAATGTCAGGCAAAGATCACGTGAAAAGGGGCAATGGCGCATCTGGGAGCGCGTCAGACTGAAGATCTGGAGGTGGCCGGTTCAAGCCCGGCTTGCCCCACTTTCCTTTTTTTTGTTCCTCCATCTCTCGGTCCCGTCGTAAGTGTGATCTAAGAGTGATGGAGTAGCCTATAGCGAACAATCATCATGTGTCATAAACTCATTGGGCTCCTGTTGAGCTTTCTGATCTATGTATAGCTAGTAAAAGCCATAACGAACATGAAACGAGCTAAGGATTATCGAGCAAAGTCTGACTGAAACTACCACCTCTGAGCTTGACGGATTGAGAGCCACGCTCCTAAAGGTCCGACTCCAGTAGTTTTACATCTTTCAATTCGCACCACTCAGGAAAGTCTCGAAGTGGTACATGATATTCTTTAACCACAACGATCATCCAGTGTGAGGGTCATTGCGTATTGATTGTGAGATCGAACTTGCTCAAAAATTGCTGAAGCGTACGATCCCCGTTCAGGGTTGCTCCGGGTTGTCGCAAGAAGCCTCTCAAATGATCAGGATCTACCCAGCATAGGAAAGGTAGAGGTCCTGCTGTGAACGCTTTGGTGTCAATCCAGTATTCAATGTCTTCCATCCGAATATAATCTTTATTTGGCATCCACTTAGCGCCAGTCTTGAAGCCTTGTCCATAGCGAAGTAGATGCTCATAGGGCTTGTCGAGGTGCTCAGGGTTCCAAAAGCGGACAATTGAGGTTGGAGGCTGTTGGAGAAGCATCCGCCGCTAACTTGCCTCAGGGCGCAAATACGCTTCTTCTCTCTCTTCTGATGCGATATGAGGATAATTCCGTCAGCCACATATATCCCCGCCCAGTCTATAGCGCGAGTCAAGAGTCGTGTAAATGAATTCGGACCAGATCTTTTCCACGACGAGAGGATTTTTCCTGGGTTCTTGTTGCGGCTCGACAGGAATATATAACAGGGCCCGTTGAATCTTGCGCGAGTTCGTGATTAGACCTTTCCATGTGGAACAGACTCGAGTCGAAATTAACAACGTATGCATATCCAAGTTCAGGAGGATCACTTCCAGTATGTCGGGGGTCGAGAATATCACGGATGGGACCGAGGAGCGTTGAGTCATGCTTCTGTGATGCTCGCTGACTCTTATAGCAAGAGACATCATGGATAGGCGTTGTCGTAGTCGAGACTGAGCAGAACGAATGCGAGACTGTTGTGATCTTATAACGCCAACGAGTTTTGACCAGGGTGATAACGAACGACTCATTTTGTTTGATGGTCGTGTCAAAGACAACTCGAAAGTATGACCTGCTTGTTTCGTCACTATTATCAGGATGGCGGAAATCACATAAGGAAAATGACGGCAGTTGCACATCACGCCGCAGCCCGCCGGACAGAAAGTTTGCTTTGTCGCCCCGCAGGTGAACAGAACTCCCGTCATAGGAGCAGAGCGGTAATCACCTCTGGTCCTCCTAGTAGGACAATGACACCTTCGGTTGTCCTTGGTATGGGGTTCCAAGCGCTGGTCCGGAGGGACCTACTCCAAGGTAGCATGCAAGTGCTGGGTTCTCCCTCTATGAGGGTACTCGGAGATGACGACGTTGGAGAGTTACGAGATTAGGGCATCGGAGTTATCGGGCTTGGGGTGAGGTTTGTGGTCGAAATTTTGGGAAGGGGTTAGTGATGATGATGGTGGTGACTTGATAGCTGCATCAAAACACAAGCATGGAAAAGCATACTGTACATGCAAACCAGAGCTTTGCGGGTACAGGACTTGGAAAGAACGAAGTAGATTAGGACATGACACACACATGACTGAAGGAGAGTAAAAGCCAGCTTGGAAAGGATGAGCATCAGCCTTGAATTCTGAATACCACGCAACGAACTAACAACCTCAGGGCTTGGTGTATCAACTCCCTCCACCTTGTCCGCAGCGCAGAGTTCAGACATCTCTCTCTGGTAGTAAGAGATACGTCAGCTTGGCAGTCTCAGACATCTGGGTGATCACGAAAGCATTAATATCACTGTTTAGGAAAGATAAAATGTAAAAGGGCTTGTCCCAGAGCCCCAGGAGGCTCCAGGCTCATGATCGGTAAGCGATATGATAAGTCAGGGATGGGCGATGTGAATCGTTATCTTGAGATCCTGATGGTTGATTGGTTCAACTACTGTGAATCCTCGCTATAACGAACCTCTTTAAAATGAATTACTCTATACATAGCAGGCCGAGGGGGTCTGTATAGAGCCTTTTTTACTGTTAATAATAGTAGTACTTAGTTATAAACAGTAGTTATTAGTTAGCATATAGTTGCGGTACGGTTACAATACAGTTAGAGTACAGTTACAATATAGTTATAGTAGTAAAAAATAGTTATAAAATAAAAAATACTGTTATATAATTAAAAGAGTATATTACAGAACTGTATATAACTAGTATTAAAAATAGATTTTTTAATAATTAATTTTAATGCTAACAGTTACTTTAAATATTATTTAAGTTACTTAGAGTTTTTTCTATATTAGATTAGTTATCTTTCTATTCTGTAACTTTAAAAAAAAAAAAAAAATAATAAAAATCTTTATAATACTTTATATAAAGTTAATATTCTATATACACTGTATTAAAACTGTTGAGGTTAAGAAAGTATAAGCAGATTTTTATAAAAAATCTAATATAAATATTTTTTTAATATTAGGATCAGGTTTTATTAGAGCCCATTTACTTAAATATTTAAAATAAAAAAGTATTAATAAAGGATCTTTTTAAATTACTTATAAAGGTTTTATAAAGGGAAATACAGAATATTAATAATTAAAATAATATATAATCCTATAAAAAAAATAGAATAGAGTAGAATAATATTAAATAAATAATCAACTATAAAGTAGATAGAAACTAATAAATATTAGTAAGTATAATATAAAAGGTATAAAAAACTATAGACTAACTATTTAAAAATCCTAATATAACTTTAAAAAAATAGTATTATACTATTATACTAAATTATAATACTTTAAAAGTACTTTATTAAGTATACTAGTAGAAGCATTTTAAAAATTTAATCTATTAAATAAATCTTTAGTTTTTTAAAATTAAGTTGTCTAAACAGAACATATTTTTTAATTATAAAATTATATTTATTTAGTAGAATATAGTAATTTAAAAGCTATAAGTATAGCTGACAGAGCTTTAAGATTAATTAAATTTAGATAGAAAAACTATAGTTCTAAGTACTACTAAACCTAAATTATAAAAACTGTTAAATCTAATCTATTTAAAAAAGATAGATTATAAGATTATATAGTAAGACCCAATCTGCCCAGATCTTATAAATTCTAAAAATAAAAATAAAAATAATTAGAGTTAAGATTCTAAACAGTAAAAAAGTTACTTTATATTTATTTATATTTTTATTTTCTGTTTAGTATATTACAGTTTATTAATAGCCTATACTCTGTAGTAAATAATAAAAAATATATTTTAATATAAATATTTAGAATAGTAAGATTTTAGAGCTATTTATTTTTTAAAACTAGTAGTTTATCTATAAACAGTTAGCCAGTTATCTATATTATAAAAGATAAAATATATTACTATGAGATATAAATCTTTTTAGATTTTAAAATTTAAGTAATAAAGTAACTGTAATAAAATACTAAAAAGCTTTTTAACTGTATATAATAAATCAGGATATTATTAGGATTAGAATAGTATAGTATATTAAAGTTGCTGAAATTTCTTAAATAATAACAGTACAGATCTGGGTAATATATTCTAATAATAAATTTAGTTTAATTTACAGATAAAGTATTAGAAGTAGAACTAAAGTATATTTAAAATATTTTTAATAAAACTAAGTTTTATCAGCCTTATATTATAAGACTAGTAGAAGTAGAACAAGTACTTATCTAAGTTTAGATAATATTTATATTTAAAGATATTTAAGTACTGGAAGATAAAGCTAATAAATAAGTCTAGTAATTTTTTAAAATACTACAGAGTATTTCTTTATATTTTATAAATTTAAAATCTAAAATATAAAGCTTTAAAGACAGAGACTAAGATTTTTTTAATCTAAATAAAAAATATTATACAGTTAACTAAAAATAAGATTTAATAATAGTATAAGTAATTTAAGTAGTAATAGGTAAGATAATAGATTTTTTAAACTAAAAAACTAAATCTGTTTAGTAGATAAGAAAAGATTTTCTGTATACTTTTAAAATAACTTAATCTTAAAGTAATACTAACTGTATAAAAAAAAGTTAAATTTTAAGTTATATCTATTATTTTTTAGATAATAGCAGATATAATATCTAAACTTAGTACTATAGCTTTAAATACTAGAATTTTTTACTTATTAAAGTATATTATCAGTAAATAT